ATGCCGAGTCTACTGCGCCCCACTATGGGATACCTCCATGCCGAGTCTACTGCGCCCCACTATGGGATACCTCCATGCTGAGTCTACTGCACCCCGCCCTAGGCCACCACCATTTACAGCTTTGTACTGCGCTCCACTATGGGATACCTCCATGCTGAGTCTACTGCACCCCACTATGGGATACCTCCATGCCGAGTCTACTGCGCCCCACTATGGGATACCTCCATGCCGAGTCTACTGCACCCCGCCCTAGGCCACCACCATTTACAGCTTTGTACTGCGCCCCACTATGGGATACCTCCATACTGAGTCTACTGCGCCCCACTATGGGATACCTCCATGCAGAGTCTACTGCGCCCCACTATGGGATACCTCCATGCCGAGTCTACTGCACCCCACTATGGGATACCTCCATACTGAGTCTACTGCACCCCGCCCTAGGCCACCACCATTTACAGCTTTGTACTGCGCCCCACTATGGGATACCTCCATGCTGAGTCTACTGCACCCCACTATGGGATACCTCTCCATGCTGAGTCTACTGCACCCCACTATGGGATACCTCCATACTGAGTCTACTGCACCCCGCCCTAGGCCACCACCATTTACAGCTTTGTACTGCGCCCCACTATGGGATACCTCCATGCTGAGTCTACTGCACCCCACTATGGGATACCTCCATGCTGAGTCTACTGCACCCCACTATGGGATACCTCCATGCTGAGTCTACTACACCCCACTATGGGATACCTCCATGCTGAGTCTACTGCACCCTGCCCTAGGCCACCACCATTTACAGCTTTGTACTGTGCCCCACTATGGTATACCTCCATGCTGAGTCTACTGCACCCTCTATGGGATACCTCCATGCTGAGTCTACTGCACCCCACTATGGGATACCTCCATACTGAGTCTACTGCACCCCGCCCTAGGCCACCACCATTTACAGCTTTGTACTGCGCCCCACTATGGGATACCTCCATGCTGAGTCTACTGCACCCCACTATGGGATACCTCCATGCTGAGTCTACTACACCCCACTATGGGATACCTCCATGCTGAGTCTACTGCACCCTGCCCTAGGCCACCACCATTTACAGCTTTGTACTGTGCCCCACTATGGGATACCTCCATGCTGAGTCTACTGCACCCTCTATAGGATACCTCCATGCTGAGTCTACTGCACCCCACCCTAGGCCACCACTATTTACAACTTTGTACTGCACCCCACTATGGGAAACCTCCATGCTGAGTCTGTGCTGCACCCCACTATGGGATACCTCCATTCTGAGTCTACTGCACTCCTCCCTGGGTTACCACCATTTACAACTTTGTACTGTGCCCCACTATGGGATACTTCCATGCTGAGTGTACTGCACCCCACTATGTGATATCGCCATTGAGTCTGTACTGCACCCCACTATGGGAAACCTCCATTCTGAGTTTGTACTGCTCCCTACTATGGGATACCTTTATTTTGAGTCTGTACTGCACCCCACCCTAGGCTACCATCTTTTTACAACTTTGTACTACTCCCCACTATGGGATACCTCCATTCCAAGTCTGTACTGCACCCTACTATGGGGGGGAAAAAAAAAAAAAAAAAATCAGTATATTACACTATGAAGATGGTTTACATCTCTACTCCAAGTTGCCTGAAGCTCAAAAAAAAAACCAAAACTTTGAGCTACTTTCCCATGGAAACGTGCTCTTTGGCATGTTTTTTTTTTTTCCCCCCCACTACCAAGAGAGTGTTTTTCTGGCATGGCAACAATTGATGTCACAGATGAAATTTTTCTCTATTGGCTAATACAAAAACACCTGAAACTTCCTGAACATGTTGGCAAATGTGCTTCAAAACGTACAAAAGAAAACTTGCTATGCTCAGATGTGAATGGAGCTTATACATCAGCTAGCACAACCTCCCTCTATAGCTCCACACGTGAAGATGGGTTAAAGCCAAAGACACAAACTACATTAAATAGAAGCCTCAATGGCCCCAGCAGACATACAATCAGCCATCACTTCATAACCTCCCACCCAGTATCGAGTAGCTTCCCCTTTTACTGACAAAACAGCCCTGACCCGTTGAGCAAGCCCAGCTCACCGCAAAAAGTCAGCAATCCCGATTCTGATGGAACTGGTGTGCTTGCGTAGGAGTGACACCATCTCCACTCAGCGCTCAAGACATCAACGGCCAGTGGGGAGTCCCAGGGATGGAGCATTGCTGGATTCAAGGTATAGTTCCGCTTTAGGCTCCTGTAAGGTGTGGCCTCCATGGATCAGACTTGTTTTTCCAGGATAGCCCACAGATACTTGATTAGATTGAGATCTGGAGAATTTGAAGGCCAAGTCAACACCTCAAACCATTTTTGTTGTGTGGTAGGGCACAGAGAGACCGCTGCCATCAGGGAATGCTGTTTCTATGAAATAGTGTACTTGGGTCACCAGTAATGTTTAGGTAGGTAGCATGTGTCAAAGTAACCTCCCCCGTGAATGGCAGGACCCAAGATGTCCCAGACATGACACTGCCTCTGCCGGATCTCCTTCCCATAATGCATCCTGATGCCATCTCTTCCCCCAGGTAAGTGACACACACAGCCATTGGCGTGATGTAAAAGAAAACGTGATTCATCAGACCAGACCCCCTTCTTCCTTTGCTCTGTGACCCCGCTGCTCAATGTAGATGCCTCTGCTGCGGACACGGGTCAGCATGGACACCCTGACTGCTCTGTGGCTATGCAGCCCCATACACAACAAACTGCGGTGCCCATTTTTTCTGCTTTCAACACATCAACTTCAGGGGTAACCCGTACTGGCTGCCCGATACATCCCACCCACTTTCAGATGCCATTGTAACAAGATAAATGTTATTCACCCAAACAGGTCAAGTTATGGCTGATCAGTGTAAATCCACTTTATGTGCACCAAATACCCAACCCTAGACCTTGTAAGCAGTAGCATGGATGTAATCACTGTGCTGTACATGCAGAAAGCAGAGCTGTGGGCCAACTCAACCCACCACAGGCTGCCTTAACCGCTTTCCTGCCACCCTATAGCAAAAATACTGATGCAGGGCTGCGCAAAATCCCGTATATATATATATATATAATATATATATATATATATATATATATATATATATATATATATACACACACACACACATACATACATACATACACATCATTTTGCATCTTTGGGTAGGGGGCGCGCGCGAGCCCCCCTACCTGCGCCGCCATTGCCGGCCTCACCTGTGGATCACCAGGTCCCCACCCGCACCTGGTGATCGCTGTGCATCACCGACGGTGCAGAGACCTGTATGTACCAATACAGATCTCTCCCCGTCATGCTGCTTTGTATGGCTCTGCTAACCTACGTGCTGACAGTGAAACATGCTTTTTATTAGCACTGATCACTGTATTGCTGTCACTGGGGATGTCAGTGACACCAACTCAGTTTCCCCCCCCCCCAGTGTCAGAATGTCTGCCGCAAAAAGTCGCTGATTGCCACCATTATTTGTATGCAAAAAAAAAATTTGAGAATATATACCACCATTTTTTTTTTTTGTTAGCAAAGATGTCGCAGAATACATTTTGGCCTAAATTTAAGTTAAGTTTTTTTTTTTACTGGACATGTTTAATAGCAAAAAGTCAAAAATATTGTTCTTTTTTCCTCAAAATTGTTGGGGGGTTTTTTTTATAGCGCAAAAAAAAAAAAAAAACCACACAGGTGATCAAATACCACCAAAAGAAAGCTCCATTTGTGGGGAAAAAAGGATGTAAATTTCATTTGGGTACAGTGTTGCATGACCGTGCAATTGTCAGTTAAAGTAAAGCAGAGCCGTGTCGCAAACAAATGGCCTAGTCAGGAAGGAGGGGTTAAACTACATTGGGGGCGGAGACCAGGCCAGTCCCCCTGCACAAGCAGGGAGAGCAGCAGTGAGCGGTCTTTATTCCAGGAAGTCTCGCCCTGGATTACTGCCCAGATCTGGAAGAAATACACAGAGCACACCGAGGTTCAAGGAAGGATACTTTTGTATTTAGACAATATTTGCCAGTTGTGACATTCAACATTAAGATCAAAAAAACAGGACATACACATATATATATATATTTGTACACTTGATTCAAAATATTAAAAGTAGATGTGAATCCAAAAATCGATAAAACTTCATATAAACACGTTACTGCCGTTTAAAGTCATTTTTACTCTAAATGCAAATTTTTATTTTTTTTTACTAATTCCTGGTGATCCTGCCAGGAAGAATCTTCTTCAGGCACTTCCTGTTGGGGTGACAACTGCTTGGCAATTGCGCCCCTGCGTTGTCACCCTGTGACACGGTGGAGACAACCAGCAGCCATGCAGACACATGGTCCGCCGTCATCGGGAAGTGACACCTGCATGCAGACAGGAAGTGGTGGGAGGAAATTAAAAAAGATAGGTGGGGGATACACCGTGTTGACCACACTAAACGTCATCCGGTTGGGGTTTACATCTACTTTAATGGAAGCCTCTCAGGCCAGCTGTTGTGTGACAGCCACAGAAGAAGAATCTCAAATCACTAAATGTGCAACTAGCGCCCCCTTCAGTCAGACACCGTCACTGCAGGGGATCCCGGACAATGTCCCAACAAGTACACTTCAAAAGAAAAAAAAAAGCCAAACAATTAGTCTTTCCCTTTAATTCGGCAGTCCCTGGGGGGTCTTCCCTTTAATTCAGCAGTCCCTGGGGGTCTTCCCTTTAATTCGGCAGTCCCTGGGGGTCTTCCATCATCACATTCCTCCAGATTTTTCTGACACTAAATTACAGTTGAAGCATCTCAGAAATGCAGGCAGGAGCGCTGGCGCCCCCAAGTGGGAAGGGTGCAGTAGGACACCGTATGATATTTTTACATATACAGGAGGAGATTTGTACAGGACACAGAGAAGAGTTCAGTCTCAGGATCTCGGGGAGATGTAGAATTGATCTTGCAATGGTCGGGAGGGTCAGTCCGGGGTCTACAAATTGGTCAGCAGATAGGCACTCAGCCAGTACAGCGGCAGGGTGATGAATGTCACCAGGATAGCGGTCCCCCTGTTGGGGTAGGGGTAAATGGCCCCATCTGCTGCCTGGCAGCCGTTCTCGTTGTCTGGGATGGGAGCCTGGTCTATGGTGATGGAATCTACTTGGCAGTCGGTCACCAGACTTTTAATCCAGTCGATGTGGGCGCTGGGCAGTGTATAGACTCCGGGTCTGTTCTTCGCACCACACTGGTCTCCCCAGCTGACCACGCCAACCTGGTACCATTTATTGTTGATATAACAAGCAAGGGGTCCCCCCGAGTCACCCTGGAATACAAAAGAATCACAAAAGTAGGCAACAATGTAAACATTAGAGCGAAGCTAAAGAGAACCTGTCTTCAAAGCAATATCCAGGATGGTGTTGCCGATCGACTGAGCATGCCCACAGTTATGCTGAAACCTTGACTTCAACCCTTCGAGTCACGGACCTGGAACGGGTATAGAGATGGGAATTCGGCTGACTTCCATTGGACCGCGTTTATTCCAGGTCTGTGACTCTGAACTATCAAAGCCAAAAAAGCCTGGGAACAAGAATTTTTTAAAAAAAGGGCGACCATGTAATTCTCTCATAACTGATTCACTTTGTACTGTACCCCAATAATCCACTTCCCTAATTTGCTCCCTTTTGGTTCATTAAAATGTATCATTGAAGGCCGGTTCACGCTATAGAAATGCAGTCCAGATGCGGTTTTTACGTGCTTTTGGCACGTTCTGGTGTGTTTATGGGTAGTTTTTTTTTTTTCTCTTTTTTTTTTTTTTTTTTTTTACACACACTCCAGTGCATTTTATGCATTCCAATTAATTTTTCCGTCTTTTTCTTCAATTTAATTTAGGGACATGTGCGTTCCACCACGTTCCAGTTCAATTCCGTGCAGAAAAAAAAAATGCAGCCTGTTCTACTTTTTTTTTTTCTGCATCCAGACACTGACCATATCACCTACTTTCTGTGCATTTTGGATGCAGAAAAAAAGCCACTGCAAATGCATGGAGGGTGAACCGGCCCTAAAAGTGTTTCATTGTATCTGTGTGGATTTCTGGCAGGATGTCCTGTACTCTCTGCTTCTCTTTTTGGTTACATTGTTCCCAGTTATCTCCGTGAACTGCCTCCCTCCATGTTATGTTATGGAGAAGGGGGGGGGGGGGGGGTTGTTCTGCCGTCTCCACACTTCCTGTCCTAAGGTGACAACACTACTCTATAGACTCAGTAGAGTAAGTGAGTGTGGTCATCCTAGAACAGGAAGTGTGTTGCTGCCAGGATGACCAGGAAAAAAAAAAAAAAAATGAATGCAGCCACCACACCCAAGGGCCATTAGGCTGCAATATATGACATTTTCTGTTCTTGGGTTTAGATACATCTTCACACCTATGCAGGTTGCTTTTGATGCGTTTCTGCATTGCATTTTTGCACTTGCGTTTTGAAACCTGCCTAGCAACAAGAAAAAAAAATCATCAAAAAACGCGGCAAAAAAAATCATCAAAAACGCAATACGTGCTTTTCTGCAGCGTTCCCATTGAAGTCTATAGAACCAAAAACGCAACGTTTTGCGTTAAAAAATGTCCCTGACCCTTTCCAAAAAAATATATTGAATACGGCCAAAATTGTAACCTTTCAAATATATATGTCAATGTATTTAGGAAGAATATTTTTAAAATATATTTTTCTTTCATGTGGGTTTCCCTCCAAATCAGCTGTCAGAGCTCTCCTCTGTGTAATTTCAGCTCTCTGTCCCCTTTTCTGAACTCTCAGATGAGCTTTATAAATTGAGTACTTTGAACGGATGTAAAGGAGAGAAGCAACAGATAAACAGGTACAACTGATGTAGGAGGATTTGTCTCATCCCTGTGTATCACTTGAGGCCAGTCACATTGCTGGGTCAACGTAAGAGTTTACCACCACTTCTCGCAGACGGCACTGGCCGATTCTGGCTGTACAGGCCGCAGTGCCTGTGTGAATGAGGCCTACTTCTCAAAGGTTTATAAACTCATCTGAAAAGAGTACACAGTGGAGAAGTTCATCCTCGGGGCTCTCACACCTACCTGGCAGGCATCCACAGTGCCCTCTTTGTACCCCGCACAGATCATGTCTGATTGGATGGTTATGTGGTAGTCGCTGCTGGCGTCAATCTTATGCAGACAGTTGCAGGTCCTGGAACTGATGACTTGCACTCTTCCCACTTGCAGGGTTCTGGGGATGGGAAGAGCAACTGCAGAAAAAAAGGACAGGACAATGGAACAGGTCAGTCAAGGTGCTTCTCCTCTCCCTTAGACTACAAGAACAGTTAAAACTTTCAAAATTTCCCCAGAGTTGGGCTTTAGAGATCTCAAGACTTGGGCGGTCCATTGTATGTTCATGCAAAAAACTGTCCCCAAACATGGCCCCGTGTGTGGCCATGGTCTTCCTGCAACTTCATCCACAAATCCTGCGACCCTTGACCCTCCTCACCTCCTTGATTGATGTTGCCCCATCCGGTGACAGAACATATCAGTCCAGGCGGGATCTGGACGCTGGCAGCCAATAAGCTGATGGTGCCCACACCAGTTGTCAAGGTCAGAGGGGTTTTAAGTTTGACCACGGCAATGTCTCCAACGTGGGCATCTGCACTGTACGTCGGGTTCTTGTACACGGCTTCAAACAGCACAGTCTGGGTGTTGGGATCTGTTTGAATCAGGGAGGTGGTTCCAAAGATGGCTTCATAATCTGCCAGGGCGTGCTCCCTGCCAAACAAGAAAAAAGGGCACAAAATTAACACCTTCCATACCCCAACCCTCCCAGAGACCGTGTCCTAGAATGATTGCTAAGTTAGCTCCTGTAGGGAGAACCTGTTCTTACTACTCCCCATCGTGTCATCAATAGTTTGTAAAATTCTAGCAGGGGCAGCCGCAGTTCCTAATGATGTAGGCATACCCCCAGAGAACATACGATCCTGCCCCCAGAGAACACACCTGCCACATCCCTGCCCCCACACCACACCTGCCACGATCCCTGCCCCCAGAGAACACCACACCTGCCACGATCCCTGCCCCCAGAGAACACCACTGCCACGATCCCTGCCCCCAGAACACCACACCTGCCACGATCCCTGCCCCCAGAGAACACCACACCTGCCACGATCCCTGCCCCCAGAGAACACACCACACGCCACGATCCCTGCCCCCAGAGAACACCACACCTGCCACGATCCCTGCCCCAGAGAACACCACACCTGCCACGATCCCTGCCCCCAGAGAACACCACCTGCCCTGCCCCCCACGATCCACGATCCCTGCCCCCAGAGAACACCACACCTGCCACGATCCCTGCCCCCAGAGAACACCACACCTGCCACGATCCCTGCCCCCAGAGAACACCACACCTGCCACGATCCCTGCCCCCAGAGAACACCACACCCTGCCACGATCCCTGCCCCCAGAGAACACCACACCTGCACCTGCCACGATCCCTGCCACGATCCCTGCCCCCAGAGAACACACACCTGCCACGATCCCTGCCCCCAGAGAACCACACCTGCCACGATCCCTGCCCCCAGATGCCACGATCCCTGCCCCCCAGAATCCCTGCCCCCAGAACACTACACCCCACGATCCCTGCCCCCACACTACACCTGCCACGATCCCTGCCCCCAGAGAACTACATCTCCCACGATCCTTGCCCCCAGAACTACATCTCCCATGATCCCTGTTCTCTTCACACAATGGGTGGACAGGCTCTTGGGGTTCAAAGACAACAGCATCAAGGAGGGACAGAGAGGAGTGGGGGTTCGGCGTTGTTCTGTGGTCCAGCAATCAGGGCTGACAACACTGCTTTGAATATCTGTGGTGCAGTGGCAGTGTTTGTCAGCCCAAACAGGAAATGACAAGCTCATCATATTTCTGGCAAAATCAAGAGGTATTCTTCTATGCTTCAGAGATAAAAACACGGGGAAATGCTCATGTATGGCAGAGATGTACTGAACATTTTTGCCCAGGCACACATTTTGGGGTTTATGGATATTAAAATGTATTGGATGAACGTTACAAGCATTTGCCCACCCTTGCCGAATTCTGACAGTATTTGGTTATTTCCTATGATCATCAGCTCCATCTAATGGCCATAATGCAGTATTTTACCCCCAGAACCACACCTGCCATATATGCAGTCCCGGGTAAGAGTTGTGCGTCCTAACCGCGCCACCATTCGCGGCCTTGGCTGTCAATCACTGGGTCCCGGCCAGTGATTACTCGCTGGCACCCCGTGATTGCTGAACATCTCCAACGGGGGGGGAGAGATGTTTGTAAACAACACAGATCTCTCCCCTGTTGGCTCCTGCACTCTGCTTTGCATGGCTGTAAGCAGTGTGCTTACAGTGAAGCACTAACAACACACAGTAAAACATTCCCAGCACACAGTTAACCCTTTGATCGCCCCTCAGGTTAACCCCTTCCAGCCCAGTGTCATTAGTACAGTGTCAGTGCTTTTTATTAGCACTGATCACTGTATTGGTGTCACTGGGGGTGTCAGTGACACCAAGTCAATCCCCCCCCCAGTGTCAGAATGCCTGCCGCAGTCCCGCTATAAGTCACTGAGCCATTACTAGTAAAAATTAAAAAAAAATATATAATCCAGTAGCTATACCGCCATTTGTAAACGCTATAACTTTCACATAAACCAACTAATTTACACGTATTGGGATTTTTTTTTAGCAAAGACACGGAGCAGGATACATTTTGGCCTAAGTTTATGATGAAATGAGATTTTTTGAAATTTTTTACTGGACATGTTTAATAGCAAAAAGTCAAAAATATAGTTTTTTTTCTCAAAATTGTCAGTCTATTTTTTTTTTATAATAGCACAAAAAAAATATAAAATGCAGAGGCAATCAAATACCACCAAAAAAAAAAAGCTATTTGAGGGGTTTGTGGGGGGAGGGGGGAGAAGAAAGTAAATTTAATTTGTTTTTTTTCCTCAAAATTGTAGGGGGGGGGGGGGGTGTTTATAGCATAAAAACGCACAGGCAAATACCACAGAAAGAAAGCTCCATTTGTGGGGAAAAAAGGACGTAAATTTCATTTGGATGCTGCGTTGCACGACCGCGCAATTGTCAGTTAAAGTGACGGGATCCTCTGGAGGGAAAGTGGTTAAATGCCTAGTCACACGATCAGAAAATTGTACGTAAAATCCCGCTTTTGAAGCGATTGTACGATAATCGTACACGGCTTTCGTCCGAAATTATTCGAAGGGACAAGCAGGAAAACCTCTCGTACAATACCAGATCGAATGATTTTTGGTTAATCCGTACAGTTTTCCTCCGAAAATACAAACAAACAGGACATCATTTCTGAATTTTGTTTCTTTCATACAAGAATTTTCATAACTTTTAATCTCTTCACTTTTGATATGAGACTAGCATGCAAACCCCCCCCAAAAAAAAACAAAAAAAAAAAAAAACACAATAATTCGTCCAATATTCTCATCGTGTGTACGGGGCTTTAAAGGGGTATACACCATGTCAGAACCTAGAGAGTGTCGGAAGGGCTGGGAAGTTCCCAGGGTCAGGGCAGCACAAGAGGACACGTAATATCCAGCAGGGGTAGCGCTACATATGTACTGTATATATTATTACAACAAAAAAGCAGTTAAAGGAGGCCGTGGACCCCTGAGATGCGGGGACACAGGGGATACTTACTCAGGGAAACAATGGCACGCCGTCAGAATCCACTGAGAGGAGATTATGGAGCCTCCACATGCCGATTCGCTGTTGTACCTCACGTTCACTTGCCAGGGATAATCATCAATATTTGCGTCACTTCCTCCAACGATGCGCTCGTGCACTGTAGAGACAGAACCTGTTAGTACCAAACATTTCACCCCCCCCCAAATACAGACGGCTACTCCAGTGAGCACAGCACCATGCATAGCAATTTACAGGTTCAGATCTGACAGCAAGGTTAAAGTGATTCTAAAAGCTTTTTTTTTTTTTAAATATTTATTTTTTTCTTAAAAAAAAACACAAACAAAAAAAAAGCCAAAAAAATAAAAACCAAAAAAAAAAAAAAAAAAAACCACACACAAAACCAAAATGCTATGCTTACCTGCTGTGTGCAGTGGTTTTGCACAGAGCAGCCGGGATCCTCCTCTTCTGGGGCCCCTGCCCGGTGCTCCTGGCGCCTCCCTCCTGTTGGTTACCCCCACAGCAAGCAGCTTGCTATGGGGGCACCTGCTGCTCCATGTGTCCATTCACACACGGAGCCAAGGCTCAGCCCCACCCCCTCTCTTCTCATTGGCTCACCAGCTGTGATTGATTGCAGTGGAAGCCAACAGCTCCTGTTTCTGTCTCAGCCAATGAGAAGAGGGAGTCCCAGGATAGCGGAGGCTCCAGTGACCAATCGCTGGATCGAGAGGGAGCTTAGGTGATTAGGGGAGCTGGAGGGGATGCTGCACAGAGAAATGTTTTACCTTCTTGCATAGAATGCAAAACCTTGAGCCTTTACAGCCACTTTAGAGCGATTGATATAATAAAAAAAAAAAAAAATTTTGAACCTTTTACAAACGTGTTCTATTTACCTGCTCTGTGAAATGGATTTGCACAGAGCAGTCCCAATTCTCATCTTCTGGAATCTCCCGCTGATGCTCCTGGCTCCTCCTCCTGCCCAATTTGCTCCCATATCAAGCTGCCTGCTATGGGAGCACTTGTGCGGTCTCACGTCTGAGCTGCGCTATGTGCATCCATAACCCATCCTCACTGAGTCCTCCACAAAAAAAAAATGTATTTTTTTTTTTTTAAATATATCTCTGTTTGGGAAAACAAAAAGTGTTGGAACTGTTTTCACTTACATGTAGGAACTTTAAGAACTAAATACACAACTTTTATTTTATTCCTTATGGAGTAAAGGAGGGTTATAAACTCTATAATGGTTTACTTTCGCCATCTGTCTCCTATTGGGGAGATTTCCCTCAACTTCCTGTCCCATAGCCAAAACAGGAAGTGATTCGTCCTGCAGACAAAGGGGGTGGTGTGGTCGTTATGGATAAATCCCAATATATGTTAGACGCTAGTAAAATATTGAATGATAAACGCCACACACCAGATCTTACCCAATAACCCCACTTGAACATATAAAAAAGATTTAAAGAAAATTATAAGATCTGGGTACACAAATGGAATAATCACAAAGAAAGAGAAAAGAATTTTTATGCCCATCAGCCCCAAGATTGCCCATCTTTTACTGGTTACCAAAGATCCATAAGGATCCAATACACCCTCCAGGACGCCCAATTATCAGTGGCATAGACTCCCTTCTCTCTAGAGCAGGGGAATACATTGATGTATTCTCACCACCTTTCGCTCGGAACACTCCTTCATATTTGAAAGACACTAAACAGGTTCTTCTTGATGTTTGGGATATTGTTACAACTCCTGATACTTTTGTAGTCACGGCAGACGTAGTCTCTCTCTATAGCAATATTAGACACACAGATGGGATGGAAGCCGTAAATGATTTACAAGAAACTGATAAATATAATGACGCCCTGAAACTTTTAGATTTCCACTATGATGCCCAATTATTTCTGGTACAACAATATTTTCTACAAACTAGAGGCATCACGGTGGATGCAAAATTTTCCCCAAGCTTGGCGAATCTTTTTATGGCACGTTGGGAAGAAGACTTGATTTATGCAGGAGATTGGCCTGAACTTAAATTTTATCTTAGGTACATTGATGATATTTTTTTTCTCTGGTAAGGTGAAGAAAGTGCTTTAAATAATTTTACCAATACTTTAAATAACAATTCTTTAAACATTATGCCGACACATACATACAGCCAGGATAATATTCATTTTCCTGACCTCTTAATGGAGAAGGTATTGTGACTAAAACCTTCTTCAAAACTACAGTTCGAAACAGCTTTATACCCACTGATAGTTGTCACCATCCTTTATGGTTAAAAAACATCCCGAAAGGACAATTTACCAGAATCAGGCGTAATTGTCAAAGTCTACCCGATTTTTTTTTTATACAAGCGAACACCCTCAAAGATAGATTTCTTGAGAAGGGTTTATTCAATGGATTCCCTGAATAATACCATTCAACAGGTAGCTAATATAGATAGGACCAGTGGCGGACTGACCATTTAGGCTCTCGGGCAGTACCCGAGGGCCTGGGGTCAGTAGGGGGCCCCATGAGATGTCCCTGGTACCTTTCATAGGTTTTTTTGGGTGTAATGTGAGTGTGGGCGAGGTCACAGGGACCCCATGATTTCCTATTGCCCGGAGGCCCCATGAGTTGTCAGTCCGCCCCTGGATGGGACCACTCTACTAATCAAGGACAATAAGAAACCGGATTCTCCTATGATCTGTCCCTTTGTTACCAATTATCCTTCACAACGTTGTCAGTTGAGGAACATCTTCAATAGACATTGGAACATTCTTAAAAAATGATCCTGTGCTTAAGAACTTTCTTCCCCCTAAACCAGATGTAGTTTACAGATGGGCACCTACGTTAAAAGATACAATCGCCCCAAATATATTTTAGACCCCCCCAAAGAAAATAACTTTTTTTGGGAAACGCAAAAGGCTTCTACCCCTGCAATCGATGCCCCATCTGTTTATTAAGCGACTCTCATAAAACAGTACTTTTACCTCATGCGCGACTAATACCACTTATCAAATAGATTCTTTTATTTACTCAATAGCAAATATGTGGTATATCTTCTTGAATGCTCATGCCGTAAGCAGTATATTGGAAGAACCACAAGACGTATGAGATATAGAATGCGTGAGCACCTCTATAACATCAAAAGAGGATATAAGGAACATTCATTGTCCAAACATTTTAGGGATTTTCACCATAAAAGAACCAAATGGTATTAAATTCACGGGTATTGACATACTTAACCTGCATTGGAGAGGTTGCAACAAAAAAGGAGGGCTATATTCCAACTAGAGACAAAATGGATATATGAAATGAGATCCCCTACCCCTCAGGGCCATAATGTGGACATAGATATTAATTGTTTTTAATCGATAAAAGCTAAATTCACTGGTACCTTTCTTTTTATAGAATGTAATGGGCAGAATATTCCAGTTAACATATCTTTTTAAAACATTCCGCTATAATAATTATATATATATATATATATATATAAATAAAGATTCACGTCTATTCTAGATGGATTTTTTTTATATATATATATAATATATATATATAAATATAAAGATTCCTCTTCTGGAGACGACCCAAAATTTGGGAATTTTTTGTATTTTCAGTGATAATGGAAAACATGGCGGGGGACACAGCCAATTAATACCCGACAGGGGTTCTAGTCCCTCTCCATTTTACCCCTCCCCCTGCCTTTAGTTCTACTATATTGTGGAATTGCATGTGAAAATAATAGCATTGATTTGTTTTTTTTTTTTTTTTTTGGTTTTTTTTTACGCATACAAGGTGACAGCTTTAGTTCTGCACAACACTACAGCTGCTGTGCTGCAAAGAAAGCAATCTATTTAGTGATTATTATTAATAATAATCTTCATTTTAATAATATTTAAAAAAATAATAATAATAATAATAATATACAGGATATAGATATAGCAGCAACAGTTTACACAGCGCTTTACAACATAAGGGCAGACAGTACAATTACAAGTTAACCAAATAACTGTCTCAGAAATGAGAAGTTCTGTGAAGTGTTCTATAAACACGCACAGCTATGCTCATTTTTATTGCAATTTATTATACCAATTTTTTATAGGAATGCCTTTACACAGTGTGAGGTCACAATAAGTAGTAGAGTTCCTACCTTGAGAAGATGCAATGTTCACAGCTGTAAAAGAAAAAAAAACAAAAAACAACATTAGTCACAAGCATGTGTATATGCGTTCATGCTATAGCTGCTGCAAAAAAAAAAGGAAACGACTGTTGCAGCGTTTATAAACATTGTTCAGGCATTGAATTGGTTGATACAAAGTAACATTGTTTATACACATTGTTCATACAAAAAAAGAAACCAATCAGCTTCCCGGTTTTATTGCCAAAGCTTAAAGGATAAGTTCACCTTTGGGAACATGTTACATGTTCCACCCGTTCCTAGGGGTGTAACATGTTCCCAATGCTGCAGCCTCCGCCTGCTGCACTCCCCTCCCTCTGACGGAAGTACGGGAAGAAGTTCCCCATACTAGATGTCAGATTTAAAACCAGCCAGCTGTGTGGAGCTCCGCCCACACGGCTGCGTCATTCATTCACAGGATCCTGTGAATGAATGAACTGCAAGTCCTGACTACCTTAGCAGCTGTCGGCGTGTAGTTTTCAATGAAATAATTGCGGTGCTGTGGAGTGCCGTGGTAGTTCATATATTCTCCCCACCAGTAAATCTGCTTGAGCGTGCGTCCCATACACTCCCTGCATCCCGTACATCCCGCATCCCTCCTTTCCTCGATGGAGGTGACCCCCCCCTACCCTCCTTTCCCCGACGGAGACGACCCCCCCCTGCCCTTGGCCCTCACGGCAGCCACCCCCCTGCCCTTGGCCCTCACGGCAGCCAGCCCCCCCTGCCCTTGGCCCTCACGGCAGCCACCCCCCTGCCCTTGGCCCTCACGGCAGCCACCCCCCTGCCCATGGCCCTCACGGCAGCCACCCCCCTGCCCTTGGCCCTCACGGCAGCCACCCCCCTGCCCTTGGCTTTGCTGACCCCTGTGCTCTGATTTGGGAGTGCTATATAAAAAAAAAAAAAAAAAAAAATGGTAGGGGGGGCAGTGTACAGGGGTCAGCAGGGCGGACAGGCTAGATCCAGCCCTGTAGATGAAAACCAAAAACAGTCCCTTTAAGAGAACCAGTCACGATTGGTGTGCAGGAAGCCGAATACTCAGACATATTACAGCCATGAGGGCTTGTCTGTTCCATTGGCATACATCTCCTT